TGGGGCTTGAACTCTGGGCTTGGGCGCTGTCCCTGTGCTCTTCAGCTCAAGGCGAGCGCTCTACCGCTTGAGCCACAGCGCCACTTGTTGTTTACTAGTAGTTTATTGGAGATAAGAGTCTCACAGACTTTCTTGCCCAGGCTGGCTTTGAACTGCAATACTCAGATCTCAGCCTCCTGTGTAGCTAGGATTACAGGCCTGAGCCACTGGCGCCTTTTTTTATGAGTATAAATTAGTTGTAGCCACTGGAGCCTGGCTGCATTTTCTTTTTTTATGACTATAAATTAGTTGTACAGAGGAGGTTCTATTGTAATAGTTCTAGGACTTGTCTTGTTTTTCAGTGCTGAGTAGAGAGAAGAGGCTCTTCCAACACCAAATAGCAAGAAGATGCCACATGTACTCAATATCCATTGTCAATCTGCTGAGGCTTATAAGTTCTAAAGAAGATGAGGAAAAGCCAAAAGGATATTGCAATAAAAAAACAATGTCCCCTTTGACACAGAAACAGGTCTTACCTGTGATGGGGTTATCCTTCCTTGTTTAACTTCAGATGAATTTTCACTTAGTTTTCCGACTTTGTTACTTGAGCTGCATTTGTAGCATGTCCATCTCATTTGCCCCTCGATTTCTACGGTGCATTCTTTGTTTTGTAGACAGAATGAATGATACAAGTGGCCACAGCTGCAAAATGAAGGCAATCAGTCTATGCTTTTTGTTACCATAAAACTCACAAACACAAACTGTGGTGGAGAGTACTTATACGTGTAAAGGTTCCTAATAGGCCGCAGTGCACTGCCAGTTATATTTGGCAGAAATTGGGAAAGGAAATGATCTTGCTGCTGACTTTGCTTTTTAAAAACCCAAACTCTCATATTTGTGTCCTTGAACGCAATCACAGTTCTGTGACTACAGGCCACCTGGAGTATGAGTTAAACTTCTGTCCATTCCCAAACTATGAAGTTTTGAAAGTAATTTTAGGTAACTGGAAAAAAAAGAAACAACAATCCAGCAGCTGGAAAAGTCATTGTTATTTAAGTAGTGTGGAAATAATATTAGTAGTCTATCATATCAAATTCAAAGCAAGAGTTAGGACTTGATGAAACACTGATAACATGTCATTGCTGCACTATTCCTGTGAAGAAATTCCCTAGTGATTATATGAATGATCAAACTCTTAGAAGTTGAATACTGAATATGAGCCAGTTGTCTTTACTGATTCCTCCTTTTTTCCCAACTTAAAATGTTGGAGTAGCCCACAAGTCAGTTAGATAGTCTTTATATTCTTATGTAGTCTTTACATTATTTCTCTTCTCTATGCTTTTTTTTTCTGTTCATAACTGATTTCTTTTATACTCATCTTCTCTCTATTGCCTTTGCTGCTGTGATTACTTCTGGTTTTACACTAAAAATACCATAGGCTCAAATTTATACTTTTATTCCAAACTTATACCCTAAACCCTACCTAGTCTTCTTAAGAATTCTAGTCTGGATATCTAATAAGCATCTGGATATCTAATAAGTCAGCCTGACTGTTCTTTCTTTCTCACTATAAGTAAATCCTATTAGCTCTACTTTAAAATTATATTCCAAATCCTCCTTTCTAAGTTCTTTGCTATTGTCCAAGGCCATCTCTCTAACAGACTACAGCAGTTGCCTAACTGGCCACTCTACTTTTCCTTCTGATCCTTCATAATCCATTCTATGGACACAGCAATCAGACTGACCCCTTAAGAAATAAAGCAAAGTCAGGTGCCAGTGGCTCACGCCTATAATCCTAGCTACTCAGGAGGCTGAGATCTGAGGAGTGTGGTTTGAAGCCAGGCCAGGCAAGAAAGTCTGTTGAGACTCCTATCTCCAATAAAGCACCAGAAAACCAAAAGTGGCTCTGTGGCTCAAGTGACAGAGTACTAGCCTTGAGCTGAAGAGCTGAGGGACAGTGCCCAGGCCCAGAGTACAAGCCCCACATAAAAAAAGGAATAAAGCAGCCAGGCGCTGGCTGCTCACATCTGTAATCCTAGCAACTCAAGAGGCTGAGATCTGAGGATTGCAGTTCAAAGCCAGCCTGAGCAGGAAAGTCTGTAAGATTCTTATCTCCAGTTAACCACCAAAAAACTTGAAGTGGAATTGTGGCTCAAGGGGTAGAATGCTAACCTTGAACAAAAGATCTAAGGGACAGCGCCAGGTCTTGAGTTCAAGCCTCAATACTGGAAAAAGAAAACAACACAAAAAAAAAAAAAAAAAAAAAAAAAAAGAAAGAAATCAATCATGACACTCCTGTCCTTCAAACTACCCAATAGCTTCTCATCTCAGGGGAGGAGTCTAACCTGGCCTCTGCTCCTCCTCTTAAGTCCTTTCTTGTCATTTCCCCTTCCTTTTCTGCTCAGGCTGACTAGCCTGCTCACCAGCTACTACTCCAGGGCACTAAAATGCAGCTGCCTCAGTCTCCACATGCCTGTGGGAAACACTCGATCTGAGGCTGCCTGGCACAGTGAGGTTTTTCTCAACTGCTCTTTAGAAATAAGGTGCTTTCAGTATTCTCTTTCCTATATACCATGTTTTATTTTCATCATTGCATTTTTATTAGTCTTCAAAATTATATTTATGTTCATAAGTTAACAGTGAGGCATCCCCTAACCACTCTACATAAAATACTAGTCCCTCAAATTCTGTGTCCTTAAACATGCCTTATTTTTTTCCAGAGTAGCAATTACTGTCTAGTTTTCTCGTTTGTTTATTGTCTGCCTGTGTCACTAGACTATAGACTCCATAAAGCAGTTCCTTTGTTTTGTTGTTTTCCTCAACTATTTGAATAGGAATGGGTAGATAGTAAATGTTCAATAAAAACCCATCTTCTTCCAAACTCCAAATCTACCAATCTTCCTATGAAGTTGACAGCAGCATAGTTCTTACTCATGCAAGGCTGGTCAAGTATCTTATATACGTTTCTCATTTCAGCTTCACAAAACCCTATGACGGAGGAATCATTTCCATCTCAACTTACACATGAAGAAAAGAAGATAGAAAAAGAGGTTTAATTTGTCCAAAATCTCATGTGGCATGTGGCAGAGTTGGATTTGATCTCAAGCAGTTTGGTTCCAGAGTCCATATTAGCAGGCATTGTAAACCTAGGTCCTACATGTGTGCACGAGGCCTCTTCTTTCTTTGTAGTGTGAGTTCATAGAATCTCTTGGCTGATGATTCCTAAATTTATATTTCCAGCTTTAACAGTCTCCAGATTTCTGATTAGAATGTCTGTCTACCAGAAGACCCTGCTTGCATGTTTAACAGCCATCTCAAACCTAAAATTAGCACAATAAAACCTTTGATTTCATTAGTTCCTTCCACTTATCCTTCCTTATCTTGGGCAGGAATATCATGTTCATTCAGTTGCTTAGGCCAAAGATATTATTAATGTTTCCCTTACACTTCATATCTAATGTAGCAGCAAGTTAGCTCTCCCCTAAAATATACTCGGAGTTCAAACGCCTCTCAGCATCTCATTCCTACCTCTCTCATTCTGTTCAAATGTCATCTCCTCAGAGATGCCTTCCCTCATTGTGCTTTCCTAAAATAGCACTCTTTTCCAGCACATGCCATCCTTCTATCCCTGTGTTGAGTTGCATGTTTTTCCACCAATCTCAGTAGCTGGAATTTATTTGTTGTCTTGACACCCTAACTCCTTTCTTTCTCCCAATTCCCATGCAGAATGGAAGGGCAGACACTCTGTCTTTCTCTCTGCTTGAATGACTGGGACTGTGAATCCATATGCATGCACTCTTGCCTGCTAATGTCACACAAGTACATAAGTCACACAAGTAATAATTCCCTTTCCTCTCCTACCTAAAGACAATAATTTCATCAGCCATTTCTTGGCGTCTCTTGTACTGCTGCAGACATACTGAGCAATAATCCTGTTTAGGATTCAGCCCTCTTGTGACCGAAGCTCTCAGGTTACACAATGACCAGTGGAGATCTTGGTTTAGAAGGCTGGTTGTTGTTTCTAGTAGAGTCTAATGAAGACCAAAACAAGAAAACAAGCAAAAGGTTATAAAACGAAAGATAGAGATGAGTGAGAAACAATGTCTGTTTTTCAACTACAAACAACCCAAATTAAGAGCACATTCCAAAGGATAAAATTATAAAAAACAGCCATCAATAGTCCACAAACTTAAGCAGTTAATTAATTAATTATGGTACTGGGGATTGAACTCAGGGCCACATTTTCTAGATAAATAGTCTATGACAGGCCCTCAGTCCTTTCGCTTTGTTTGTTTTTCAGGTTAAGAGACTGGTAGGCAATAACTTTGTCTGAGGCCAGCCTTGAACTTTGGTCCCCTACCTGTAGAGTAGTTGGAATTATAGGCATAAGCTACCATGTCCAACTGTATTTGAGATAAGGTCTTGCTAACTTCCCCGCTGCCCCCACTCCCCCAGAACTGGACTTGAATGTGATCCTCCTTTTCCTGCCACTTAAGTAGCTGGGATTACAAGCATAAGTCACCATACCAGACCCTTTACACATGCATGGTCATACATGAAAACTCCCAAGTCTGTTACTAGATTCAATCTGAGAAATGAATTCTGCCAGTCTGTGGCTTCAATATTGATAGCGTTCAAATGGCTATGCAAATCAAACTCTATTAATTACATTTATATAATAACTTCTCCCTGGATGGCTCAGGCTGTTAGAGAATAGACTAGATCTGATTAGATCTGATTTTTTTTTTTTTAGGTTGAAACTGTATCCATGTCAATGTTTTAAATAATCTTCCCCTTGAAAAGCTAATGCTCATTTACTCAGCTTTCATCTCCCTTGGGAAGAGATCACATTTTCTTGAGCAGCACTTTTTAAGTCATTTGAATCTATTTAAGCCATATAAAGACATTTTCTCTGCTATCACATTGTTTTAAGGATGTCTGTGCTTCTGAAGTACTTTTGTCATAAGGTACTACTTGCTACCATTCACATATATCGTTTGGATGTCCAGTTGGTTCCCAGAGAAGGGCGAGGGGCAACTCACCTCTCCTTGCTATATAGCTTAGCTCTTCTAACTTTACTTATAATGCAAACATTTTTGTTTTAGCTGCTTAACTATCCTAATTCTTCTCAATCAATATTATCTTTTCCTATTCTTTCACAGTTGGCAAAATTTTTCTACTTTATACTCAGCTTTACTTCTAATAATCTAGGATCTAGATTATTATTAAACTATTAAACTATATTGAGCAAAACAGCAATTTTTTTTTTTTTTTGGTGGTATTAGAGTTTGAAAGCAGGGCTTCATGCTTGCGAGGCAGGCAACTTGAGCCTGGCTTTATCCTCCTATTTAAGCTTCCTACTATAATTAGGATGACAAGTATGTACCACCACACCCAGCTATGGATTGAGACAGCTCTTGTGAACTATTTTGCCTGGGTGGGATGGCATCTGACCATAATCTTTCTGATCTCAGAATAAGCCATCATTGCCCAGCATAAAACTGCAATTCTTGTACCTCCTAAAAATAGTTGTGTACTAAAATTTTCTTTTTCTTCTCTTTTAAATTCTTAAAAAAGCAAACATTGTATCTAACATGCCTTAATTATATCTTCTCTAAGGATATAAACACCAAACTGGCTCTTACTAAGAATTAAAGGTATAGATAGTTTTGAGTTAAAGGAAGACTAATGACAACTTTTGGTTAGTAGCAATGACCTGTTTCAGAATATGAAAAATAACACTCATATAACATTATTCTGAAATTTCATGCTGCCCCTTGCTTTTTAGAGCTTATAATTTTGTAATCATTTTTTTTCCAGAAAATCTCTCATACTTTCATCTTGAAGATACTAGTTTCACTGCCAATGAATCAAAAAATAAAATTGAATTTTAATTAGATACATATTCTGGAATATACACATGTAAGTGAAAATTAAAATCAAGGAAAAATTTAACTAGGAAAAAAATACCCATACATCTTAATCTACTTTTATTTTTAGTGGGCAGATAGCTAGTTTTAAAAGAATAAACATAAAGGCAAAGGAGAGGAAAAGGAAGACAACAGAAAGGAGAAAGTGTAGCTTGTTTTCTGAGCGTAACAAGTTAGCTTACTTACTTGTTCATAGTTAAAGGTGTCTAACATTCCCAGAATAAGTCCCTGGATTTCTCCAAGTTTTCCTTTTCCATAAACTGGGTCCTAATTAGAAAAAAAAGTTAAAAATATAATTCTGATTCGATTCTTGATACTTAAAAATTACTTTAAAATATAAGGTATCTGTAGGCCAAATGTTCCTAAGATTTGTTTTTAACAGTCAAAGGTAACGTCCACTGGAAATACACAGTATTCTTTCTGAATATCTCAAATATATCAGAAAAAGTGAAAATGCCCGAAGCCCCTTCTTAACAATCTTCTTTGCAAATATATTAAACTTCTCTGTGGTTCTGTTTCTGTGAGAAGTTTCTTCTTTATTCACACTGAACAGTAACTGTCTCTCTCTCTCTGTCTTCCTGTTTTTTTCTTTGGGTTTTTATTTATCATCTGCTTTAAGTGGAATATTAGAATTTGACCAACAACTTCTCCTGTGATCTATATATGCTACTTCCTGGCCCAAACCAACTAAACTGTTTCAGTTTTGGAGACCACAGGATATGAGGAAATAGCTTTCAGTCTTTCAAAGCCTTTTTTTCCTCCAATAAAGTCATTATGAGTAAACCACAAATACCTACAAACTCTATCTTCTCTCCACTGATTCTCATATGAGGTATGTCAGGTAACTTGTTTATTATGTATAATTTGGAAAACACTAAGTGTACTGAGAACCTCCAAAAAATACCAAACTGAAACGCAACCATCCAGTTAATAAAATTTTTATGCTATCAGAGCAAACTATGAATTCAGAAAGAAAGGAGGTCTAAGATGGCTTCTCAGTTTTTGACTTTATAATAGGTTCTTTTGGTCCTTTTAGTATCTGTGCATAAGCTAAGGAAATGTAAGGGACAACATAGCTATGAATTTTTTCTACTAGTTAACGAAATTTACAGGTTTAGGGTTGAACAGGCCACATAAAATAGAAAAAATTTTCTTTTACAGCTAGGGATTATATCTTTAAGCTAAAGATACTTGCAAACAAGTAGAGACTGTTCATGAAAGGCAAAACTATGAAAAGCTGGTCCTTTGATAGGAAAACAATTTAGATGCATGCACCAGATAATTTGTTTTATTTTCCTTGCATAAAAATAAAACCACAGTAGTGCTTTTCATCTTCACTTAATTAGGCTTGGGTCAACCTCCCATTAACCAGAGTTATTTCTCAGTCAAAGTACCAATGGATAGTGTAGTGTTTTATTATAAAAAGTCTGTCATAGTGGCTGGGAAGGTGGCTCAGTGGTAGAGCGCTTGCCTTGCATGCCCTGGGTTCGATTCCTCAGCACCACATAAGCAAAAAGAAAAAAAAAGCTGGAAGTGGCGCTGTGGCTCAAGTGGTAGGGCGCTAGCCTTGAGCTGAAGAGCTGAGGAACAGCGCCCAGGTCCAAAGTTCAGGCCCCATGACTGGACCCCCCCAAAAAAAAAGTTTGTCATAGTATCTATAATAATAAATGTATTCCAGAATACTGAGGTAGCTCAGACATGCATTTCTGACAAGGGTCATAGAATAGAGATGTCTTTTTTTAAATTTATTTTTATTTTAAAGGTGATATACAGAGGGGCTAGAGTCCCCTAAGTCAGGTAATGAGTACATTTCTTTTTGAACGGTGTCACCTCTTCTCTCATTTTCTCCATTTTTTCCCTCCTGACTGTCTTCCCTTTATAGTTCATTTTCAACATAGTGTCTAGTGAGTATCACTGCTGCATTTGTTTACCCTTTGTCTCACCATTTCTGTGCTCCCCCAAACAGATAAACTTACATATAAGATAAAAGGTACAGAAATAAAAAAACAGAGACAAAGGGGAAAAAAAACAAAAACAAGAACAAAAACTAAAATAAAAACCCCTCTTGTTTCCATTTCTTGGAATTCATTGTGATAAACACCATTTTATATGTTCATATGCACATAGCTAGTGAGCCTTTGCAATCCTCTCCTAAGAATATTCTCCATTGGTCTCATTGTGTGAATGTTTAGAGTCGTGTTTAATTTATCATATCCAAGTGTAATTTTTTGTCTTTTACCATCCATTGTGTTTACCTGTAGATTTATAGACACATTCTAATTACTACAAATGAGGGAGACCATGCACCTATGTTTCTTTGGGTCTGGCTTATTTCACTTAATGTAATTTTTTCCACTTTTCCATTTCCTTAAGAATGGCACAATATCATTCTTTCTGATATAAGCACAGAATTCCACATTTTTTGATCCATCTGTCCACTGAGGAGCATCAGGTTGATTCCATATCTTGGCTATGGTAAACTGGCACAAGAATAGGTCCAAGAGATAGGCCTGAGACAGCCTCTTCAACAAATAGTGCTGGTAGAATTGGCTATACATGGGCAGAAAATGGAAGCTAGACCCTCATATATCACCACAATCAATTCCAAATGGATCATAGACCTCAAGGTAAGGCCAGATACCATGAAAATGTTACAGGAAAGAGTAGGGGAAAAACTAGAGTTCCCAGGCACAAGCCAAAACTTCCTAAGATCCAGAATCACAGCAAATCAAAGAAAGACTGCACAAATGGGTCTGTATCAAGTTAAAGAGTTTCTGCATGGCAAAGGACATAGCTAGCAAGATAAACAGAAAGCCCTCAGAATGGGAGAAGATTCTTATAAGTTATGTATCAGACAAGGGCCTCAAACATAAAATATCCTTAGAACTCAAAAAATTAACCCCCTAAAAACCCTCAAAGAAACAGCAACCCAATTAATAAGGAGAGACTTCTCAGAAGAAGTAAGAATGGTCAATAGATATATGAAATGTTCAACATCTCTGGCCATAAAAGAAATGCAAATTAAAACAACACTGAGATTCCACCTCACTTCAGTTAGAAGGGCCATTATCAAGAAAACTAACAACAGCTGATGCTGGTAGGGATATGGCCAAAAGGGAAAACTACTACATTGTTGGCGGGAATGTAAACATTTTTTTTGCGAGGGGGGGGAGGGGAAGGTCGCATCGTGGGGCCTGAAATCTGGGCCTGGGCGCTATCGATCAGATCTTCAGCTGAAGGCTAGTGCTCTACCACTTGAGCCACAGCACCACTTCCGGCTTTTTTTCTTTTTACTTATGGGGTGCTGAGGAATTGAACCCAGGGCCTCATGCATGCAAGGCAAGCGCTCTACCACTGAGCCACCTTCCCAGCCCCAGGAATGTAAACTTGTTCAACCACTCTGGAAAGCTGTATGGAAGTTGCTCAAAAGACTAAAAGAGCTTACCTATGACCAGCAATTTTAATCCTGGGCATTTATCCAATAGACCACAAACAAGGCCACACTATAGCTACCAGCACAACCATGTTTACTGCAGTACTTTTACCATAGCCAATGTATGGAATCAACCTTGAGATGTCTCAAAAGGTTAAATTCTGCTGGGTGCCCATGGCTCACACCTATAATCCTAGCTACTCAGGAAGCTGAGATCTGAGGATCTGAGGATTGCCTGCCAATCCATGGAGGCAAGTCCATGAGACTCTATCTCCAATTAACTACCAGAAAACAGGAATTGACACTGTGGGTCAAAGTGGTAGAGCACTAGCCTTGAGCAAAAGAGCTCATGGACAGTGCTCTGGCCCTGAGTTCAAGCCCCATACCACCACCACCACCAATGACAAAAAAGTTAGATTCTGAGGAAAAGAACTCTTTCTTTTTTTGCTAGCTCCAGAGCTTGAACTCAAGGCCTGTGTGCTGTTCCTGATCTTGTGCTCAAAGCTAGTGCTCTACCACCTGAGCCACAGCACCACTTCCTCCTTTTTCTGAATAGTTTATTGGAGATTAGAGTCTCACAGACTTTCTTGCCATCCTCAGATTTTTGGACTCCTGAGTAGCTAGGATTACAGGTGTGAGCCACCAGAGCCTTTCAAGAAGAACTCTTAATAGGTCATTTCTATATTTACTTCAGTACATTTTACTTTAATATACATAATTTAAGAGCAAAACCATGAAAACTACCTCATGCTGGTACAACATCTAAATTATAGAATGTAAAAGTGAGCTCAAGGCTTCTAGCGCAGCATGGCCACAATCTACTAGCTCTACAAATTAGTTTTTAAAGTTGTCAGCTAGATTCTTCAGCAATAAGTAACTGCTGAGGTTTCTCTTTAGCTTGTTTGTAAACTATTTGGGGAAAAAAGAGCACATTGGGTACCCTACATAAAAATTTCCAGAAGCATACCAGAAAAAGGTGATCACTACTTATTTTCTTAATGTTTTCTGGTACTTCTTGTAATAGATATGCAAATGTTTTGCTTTAAAGTAAAAATCTTTCTTAATGGATTATTACTTTAAAATAAAAAATGCCTATGCAGAGCAGAATATAAATTATTTAATTTCCTTTGGTAAGAAACCCACAAATAGCTGGATGCTGGTGTCTCACAACCTCCTAGCTACTCAGGAAGTTGTGAGCCAGAGGGTTGCAGTTTGAAGCCAGCCTAGGTAGAACAGCTTGTGAGACTCTATCTTCTATTTACCAGTAAATAGCCACACTGGAAGCATGGTTCAAGTGGTAAAAGTCAAGTGAGCATGAGGCTTGGCTCCAGGGAAAAAAAGAAAAAAAGAAACTAATATATAGCTAAGTAAGGTTGCTCACATTTATAATCCTAGATTGGGAGGATTGTGATTAGAGGCCAGCCTAGGAAAAAAAATTCATGATACCCCAAGAATGCATTTGTTATCCCAGCTATGAAGAAAGCATAAATAGGATTGCAGCCCAAGCCAGTCCAGGCAAAACCTTATTTGGGAAATAATGAAAATGAAAGAGGGCTGGGGGTGTGGTTCAAGTTAGAACACCTACCTAGCAAATGCAAGTATTTGAGAGTGAGAGAGAGAGAGAGAGACAGACAGACAGACAAACACACTAATAAATGGCTACTTAGAGACTAAGAATTATTTTTGTCATGGAGTAAAGAAAGAATGATCCTTGAGAACCTCTAATTGTACCAATATTTCTTCTGGAAAAATCAGCTTTTTTTTTCATTTGTATCTGAGCAACTGTGTCTAAATAATTGGTACTCCCCACCTTCTCCCCAGGAGACCTTATAAA